GGGGGGGGGGGGGGTGTTCACAACCAGATAGGGGAGGGGAGAAAGGAGAAGTTTGGTTGGGATTTTCACGACCAGAAAAAATCAAATTAAATGAAAACAGAAGAAAATAAGTTTTTCATAGCAAAAACGGTCACTTTTAGTAAGGGATTTTCAGGGATTAGATTGTTTTTCTTTTTTGGAGGGGGCAGCGGCAGCGGGGAAGAAGAAAAAGAATCGTACAGGAAAAAAAAGAAATGAAGATGGGGTGCGGGGAAGAAGAGAAAGAGACATGTCTCTTTTGCTTTTTTTTTTTTACTTATTTTATCTTTATCTTTTTATTTTATTTTTCATTCTTATTTTAATAATATTTTTCTTCTTATTTAATTATTTCTTGTTCAAAATGTTCATATTCACGCTCGTTGTCCGCGTGAATTACACATATTTTGTCCAGCTCAACCATTTTGTTGCCACATGTGCTTGGTCAACGGTCAGAGAGGTTTAAAATATAAGTTTTGATGAAGTTAAAGTGTCTGCATGAAAACAAGTGAAGTATGAGGACCGGGATATCAAACCGGAAAAAGTACAAAGGCCTACTAGGCTATTCTGCCAACATTAATTAATAGCTTGATAAAAATAATAAATATCCGGCTATTTCAGGTTAAACTATAACGATAATGAAAAAACTCTTTAATTTGTCGAACTTAAATCCTAGTTCTGTTGGTAATTGATAACATGCCCTTGATAAGCATGCAAAACTAATATTTCTAACTGAAAAAACTAATATCATGTTATTAATGCATATTTTCACTATTCCTTCATGGCATACACTTTTTCTTGAACATATCAACCTAATAAATCTAAGGAGTTTAGAAAATAAACGAGTACAGACAGTAGTTTGGCTAGTCTATCGTTGGCAAATTTTAAAATCATTGGTCTAATTTCACTCACTTTTTTTAAGTTTCGTTTTGTTGTTTCTTATAAAACCCTTATATTATTCTTGCTAATTAAGCCCTCAAGAGGAAGGGTGGGACCAATTCATTTTTTCCCAATATATATATATAATTATGTGGCTGATGTTATATAGGAAGCAGATAAAAATTCGCTAGCAGAATCAACGGGACTAGATCCGAAGCAGATCAACAATTGGTTTATAAACCAAAGGAAGAGACATTGGAAACCGTCAGAGAATATGCAGTTAGCTGTTATGGATAATCTTAGTGGCCAATTCTTCTCAGATGATTGAGTTGAAATTGCATCCCTGATTTCCCTTTACATGTTATATATTTTTGGATAATTACTAGAAAAAGAAAGAAGATATTTTGCTAATACTGATTAATTAATCCAGTCTCTATAAAAATAATGGTAGATATTAATGTTGAATTCAGCTTCATGTAAATATTCAAGCTAACTGCTAAAATGCTTACCCAATATCAGAAAATGACTGCTCTTTTTTTTTTTTTTTTTTTTTTTTTGATAACATGAGTCTTGCTCATATTAGAATGAGAACGGAGGCTAAAATGGTCTTAAGAGATCCTTTGCATTTTTAAGCTTGGATAATCTTTGGATTGGCTATGTGGATATGAGTTCTGTCAATACATTATTTAAATTAAAATTCCATCTTTTTAGAGAAAAAAGAAGCTATTGGAATTTATTAAAACTCTCTTTACAAGAGTACTCTTGCTAGGGACATGTTATTTCCAGTGAAATTGGCCAATTTGTCTGAAATAAACTGAGTGTTACAAAAGCTCCCAAGTTCTAAGTCCTAAAAATATATAGTATTACATATGAACCTCACATCGGTGGGATAGGACCGTTCAGCCTTGCAACTATCTCTTTTAATTTTCTGCCTTTTATTTAACAAAATCCCATCCTGTGTAAATGCATAAATATTTCTTTGTGCACAGTTTGTCTTTTCTTTTGTTTACCCTTAAAATCGGATAACAATTAAATTTGTAAATGGTTTTAAGGATATGTGATTTCACTTGGCACAAACTGGGAAATATAAGAATTGAAGTTAGAAATTAACTGTAAAATGAAGCAAACCAATGTAACGCACAACTTTGGTCCTCGAGCTAGGTCGCCCTCGAACCAACTGAGTATATTATTAAGAAGCAAGAACTGAACAACTGAATAAGAGAGCTTAAGAGAGAAAATATAATATATTGCTTTGTTATACGTGAATCTCCCCTTTCAAAATGATTGGAACCCCCTTTATATAGTAGAAGAGTTCTACATATGGTACAATTCTAAATACAGAAGGAAATCTTTTGATTGGCTAATGAACCGGTCTTGACTTGATATATGCCGATATCTCCGCCACAATCCTCGCCTGGTCACGGATTCCCCGGCTTTCTGTTATTCGACTTAGCAGGCCTCCTTCGATCTCGCTAGATGCATATCCTTCTCGGTCTCGACCTTAGCTAGTCTCGATCTCGATCAATCCCTGAATCACGAGCTAGGCAATATTTATTCATGCAACGATCCAATATAACTTGAGATTGAACCTCGGTTTGCCACCCCGGTCTCGATTAACCATACAAAATCGGGTAAGCATGATTTTGACCGTATACAGATAGTCCCCTTATTTTTTGGAGAGTAATGATAAGAAACGATTTGAGCCTTCGATCATGACGTAATCGTCATGGCATAAACAGTAGAAGTGACAGAAACGTCTCGTCGGTACAGTTTTCCAGGTATTTAATGCGCGTCAGTCGATGGTCGGCCACTATCAGTTTTGAACCATCGTTGTGAAAACGATAAATAGCCCCCTTCTTTATTATTTCAAACTTTTACTTTCAGATCTTCTTCATTCCAATCTCCATAGTTCTTTGCTTTCTTCAGAGCTTCATATCTTCAAATTTTTGAGTTTCTTTGCTTGTTCTTCCTAAAACACCAAATACTTCAATCTCCATTCTTCTTTTTCCACAAAAACTAAATGACCAAAACATCTAAAACTGTTCCGCAGAAAGAGGCTGCTTCCTCATCTCGGTCGGCCGGCGAGAAACTAGTGGTGGAGCCACGCCCTGAAGAACTTATTCTCGGGGGGTGTGTCATAGATTTTGACTTTAGGGTCGAGAAAACCTCATCAGTTCCTGGTCGATGCGAGCCGATATCGAGATATATATGC